CGGAAGAGGCCAACTTGAACAGAATTCAAACCTAGCACTCTACACCCTGCCCAGACGATACCAGCTCTCCAACACTCCTAGCACCAGCCAAAGGAGTCCAAGGATAGGACCCAAGGAGGGGATTTCAGATGCCGACCTAAGCCCTGGTGAGAGCTCCTGGGAGGAGGTGCAGAAGGGCAGGTGGATGTTCTCCAGTCTGGATGATCACTGTGAGGATTCAGAGATTCAGAGATGAGACAAAGCAGGCGGCTTTCTCTGCAAGGGCTGCTCCTCAGAAGCCGGACAGGGCAGGAAGCTGCAGCTGCGGCCGCTCTTTGACTTTGGGTCCTTCTCTTCTCTGGCCTCAGCGCTCACAGGAAATTAGGAGGTGCTTACTGAGACTGACTGCCACAGAAGACCCTTCTTCCAGGTTTTCTCTTGGGGAGGGTCTGGAGGTTTTCAGACAGAGTCTCTATTGACCAGTCTGGTCTTGAAGTTGGTGTGTAGCCAAGGATGGCCTTGACCTCCTGATCCTCCTGCCTCTGGCTTTCTAGTGCTGAAAATACAGGGGTGTGCCACTGCCCCCCACTTAACTTATCCTTACTCAGCAACATTTATTGAATGTTTAAAATTGGTTGCTTCAAATGGGGATAAAATATAATTTTTTTAAAAAATATATTTTATTTTTTTTTAATGTGCATTTGTGTTTTTGCCATGCATGTCAGGGTCCCCTGAAACTGGAGTTACAGACAGGTGTGAACTGCCATGTGGGTGCTGGGAATTGAACTCACGTCCTCTGGAAGAAGAGTCAGTGCTCTTAACCCCGAGCCACCTCTCCAGCCCAAAATAGATTTTTTTTTCTCTTTTTTTTTTTGGTCAAGGTCTCCTGTAGCCCAGAAGGGTCTCAAACTTGCCATGTATCTGAGGATGGCCTTGAACTTCTGTTGCTCCTACCTCTACCTCCCAAATGTTGGGATTACTGACATATACCACCATGGCCAGAGTGTGCTGCACTGAGGACTGAACCCAGCATTTTGGGCATACTGGACAAGCACTCTACCAACAACTATATCTCTAGCCCAAAGTGTGTGTGTGCGCGTGTGTGCGTGCGTGCGTGCGTGCGTGCGTGCGTAAGTCAATGTACAACTGGCAGGAGTCAGTTCTCTCCTTCTACCACCTGGATCCCAGGGATTGAACTCAGGTCATCAGGCTTGTCAGCAAGGGTCTTTCTTCACTGAATCATCTCATTGACCCTCCGCTTTATTTTGAGACTTTGGAGCTCACCGATTGGCCTAGCCTCATTGCCCTCCCTTCTCAGCACTGAGATTAAAGGAGCATGCCCAGCTTTCTCCTCCCCGCCCCCCACAGAGCTGAGGACTGAACTCAGGACCTTGCACTTGCTAGGCAAGCGCTCTATCACTGAGCTAAATGCCCAACCCCATGCCCAGCTTTTTAACCGAGAGCTTGGGATCTGAATTCAGATTTGTATGGGCGTGCTGTGAGCGCTTGAGCAACTGAGCTATATCCCCAATCCAATTTTTGTTTGTCTGGTTGTTTTCGTTTTGTGGCAGGGCTTCATTATACTGGCCTGAAACTCACTAGATAAACCAGGTTGGATCACAGAGATTCTCCTGCTGCTTCTTCCCAAGCCACCACTGGGGTTAAAGGTGTGTTTTTTTTTTTTTTTAATCCTCTGATTATTATTAAGAATTCAATTCGGCATGATGGTGGCGCACGCCTTTAGTCCCAGCACTCAGGAGGCAGAGGCAGGTGGATCTCTGTGAGTTTGAGGTCAGCCTGGTCTACAGGGTGAGTTCCCAGACTACACAGGGCAACTCTGTCTTAAAAAGGCAAAAAGGAAAATTGAATTAGAGGGACCGAAGTGCTGCTGCTGTCGTTTGAGAGGATAGGATGAGAATCTGAGGATGCTCAGCAGATCCCATCACCCAGCTCAGGCTCTGAACTCTGCCTGGGAAGCCTCCCTCTGTAGCTCCAATCACGTGTGCTCAGAGTGCTTCCCAGGGCTCCCCTCTGCCTGTAGCATGAAGCAGAGCTCCTACCACTGACCTTCACAGACCATCCGTTTCCAGGGCAGCCAGTGCAAGCTGCTCACTGCTCTTGGAGCTCATCACCCCTATGTCCCAGGCCTTCCCTTTGTCTCTCACATCCTCCTTCCTCACCTCATCCTACAGCACTCAGCTCTGTCATTACCTCCTCGTGAAGCCTTTCAAGACTTACATCCCTCAAACGGAATCTGGTGTTCTCAATTCTGGGCACTCAGACCGAGTTCAACAGGCCTTGGTCATGTCACGTGGTCTGCCTATATTTCCCTCCACAACTAGATGGGATCTCTTTAAAACACAAGATGGGTCATACCTTGTTCATCTCTGTGCTGGTCCAAAGGAGGCTTAAATGACTGCATCCATAAGGCCACCCTGATTCCTTCACGTATCCTTTTGTGCTCTCCATCTCCCTCCCTCCCCACCTCCACCCACCCACCCACAGCACGTGGGGCCACCACGAGTTAAGTTCTGCATTTCAAAACCTGGTAAGAAATTTGTTCTCCCGGTACTTATCGGTCAAAAGCATACGTCATGACAATCAGGAGCAGGTGGAGAGAAGAAGCTGTCATGTGTTGTGACCTGTAAAGTTTGTTTTGAACACAGACGCTGTCTCGTTAGATCCTCGGGATAACACCGTGAAGCGTAAGTACAGATCCGATCAGATACAGGAGGTGCAGAGACGTTGTGACCTGCCCCAAATCACATATGTAACCAGAGACAGAACCCTGACAAACCTAGCTAGGTCCCAGCTATGCTGTTATATCTTCAATATAAATGAGACCAAACATTATCATAATAAGGTCCTGGCATGCCTCAGTGGAGATGGCAAGCAGCTATCTGTTCAGATGGACGAAAGGAAGCCCGAAGAGGAGATAAGACTCCAGGGACAAGGCAAGCTCTGTTCCTTCCTATCCAATTAGCCTGAGTCTAGGCTCTTTCAAGTATGAATGGGTCAAGGCCATCGGACTAGGGCAAGGCCTCCTTGCAGAAACATGGTGTGAGCATGAGGAGGGCATCGTGCTAGCTAGTCAGGTAGGGAGAGGTGTGGCTCAGGCACTCATCCTCACCCTCTGACACTCCTTGCTTGGGCTGTTGCTCAAAGAGCTCTTCTCTTGATCTCATGAGCCCCGAGGGCACCTGGTAGTTTGGCGTAAACCGCTGCAGCTTCCCTACCTAGGGCTGTATGGTCTTAGCGTGGCCTTGTGAGCCAAGGGTGACAAGCTTTGCCAGCTTCTGCCATTCCTTCATCTCTACATCTCCTCAGCAGTAGGAGTGGGGCTCTCTTTTGCCTGGGGACAGGGACCTTGAACTTGTGAGAGTGCAGAATAAGAAGACCCTAGTTGGAAGCAGGGGCACCAGTTGTCCCATGGAATCTCTGTGTACTCTCTACGTTCCTCAGTTCCCAGAGAACTGGGGGTTGGAATCACCGATCACCAGCTCAGGAAGCTTTCCTGTGGAGTGGTCCATGGCCTCATGAGATCAGATGGATCAGTCTTGAGGCCTCTCCTGATCCATAATTACCTAACCAATATTCCAGGAACTAGCAGCCTCAAGTGACTTCAAGGGCCCTTGGACACTTCCTCTCCAAGGAGCCTCTCTTGGGACCCTCAAAGTTCCCTCCTCCTGATTTTCTGCCCCACCTCCTCTTCACGGGACAAATGAAGGGACAAGATCAGAAACAGGCTGAGACATCCCTATCTCTGCAGCTGCTCCAGGAAACCTTTGCTCCAGGCCCTGCCCGTTCCCTACAGCACCCCCACCCAGGATGTAAATTTTCTCGTGAGTTGTTGAGCCAATGTTGGGCCTGACCCTTTTCTCCAGAAGTCGGGGTCATAGGACTGACAGGTTGGGACTATAGATCAATCTTACCACTAAGTGACAGACTGCAAATACTCCACCTGGCAGCAGTGGCATTCAGCAACCCTTCCCTCAACAATAATATGCAAGCACCACCTTCCAAGTAGTTCTCTGATTACTTGCCCTGGCAGCATCCCAGTGGGCCAGAAATACCATCTTGAGTCATTAGATGTAATCTAGCCCCCAACCATTTACAACAAACATTTTTTTCTTGTTGAGACAAGGTCTTTCTATAGCCCTGGCTGTCCTGGAACTCTCTGTATAGACCAAGCTGGTCTCAAACTCACAGAGATCTGCCTGCTTCTGCCTCCTGAGTGCTGGGATTAAAGATGTACAGTGAGTTACAAGCAAATTTTATCTTTTTGACAAAAAGAACCTTACTTGGTGAAGTTTTGCCCAGTGTAGAAATAATGATAACAACAACAGCAATAATGAAGTACTTTATAAACTGCTTACAACAGGGGTTCTCACCCTTCCTAATGCTTCGTCGCTTTAATACAGTTCCTCATGGTGTGGGGACCCCAACCATAAAAGTATTTTTGTTGCTACTTCAAAACTGTAATTTTGCTACTGTTACAAATTTTAATGTAAATATCTGATATTTAGGATATCTGGTATGTGACCCCCAAAGGGGTTACAACCCACAAATTGAGAACCATTGGCTTACAGTGTGTCAAGCTCACTATTTTAAGCATTCCATCTAATCTTCATATACTCATACCAAACCAATGAAGTAGTGTGTGTGTGTGTGTGTGTGTGTGTGTGTGTGTGTGTGTGTGTGTGTGTATGCATGTGGAGGGACAGTGTATATTCACCCATGTGCACACATGTGGGAGCCAGAGGTCAACATCTGGTGTTTTCCTCTATGGCTTTCTACCTTTTTTTTTTTTTTCCCTTCCAAGACAGAGTCTCTCTGTGTAGCCTTGGTTGTCCTGGAACTTGCTCTGTAGACCAGGCTGGTCTTGAACTCAGAAATCCACTTACCTCTGTCTCCCGAGTGCTGGCATTAAAGACATGCACTATCCCCAATCCCCACTCTCTGAATAGGCTAGCTAGTCTTGAACAACCCTCCTGCCTCAGTCTCCTAAGTGCTGGGATAACAGGCATGCACCACCATGACAGTTACTGGGAATCAAACTTGGGGCTTTTTGCATGCTAGACCAGCACTCTACCAACTGAACAGTATTCTTATCCTCTCTGGGACCTTTGTATATACTCTACTTCTCTTCTTCCGGAAAGGTTGGGAGATCCAGAAATTCTCTGGTGGATTACCCAGTTGCAGCCTTGCATGGATACAGAGAGGCGCAGAGCAACACAGAGAACTTACATTCATTTGTCCTTAACTGAGAGCCTGAGCTAGACCCAGAAAAGGTACTGGTGGCTAGAAGGGCAGTCCTACCATTGGACAGGTAGCTGCCTGCCCACTAGGGAGAAGTTCTTTCTCTCCTGAGAAGATGGTGGCTGTGAAGAAGGGGTCCAGGTCTATGATCCAGTCTTCTGAGGCTCATAGAGCTGGTGAGGTGTCCAGAGCTCCAACAGTCACCTGAGCGCTGGGCCTAGTGGTCTGGATAGGGAGGAGGGAGAAAGGAGAATGTCTAAAATGACTAATGGAGTCACATGGTCAGGACTGTAGGTACCTGAAGGATAACAACCAAGTCTGTTATCAAGTTATAAAATCAAATCCCTAGTTTCTCTTCTTTTAGTCTTCGGTGTCTCTATAGAATGGAGGTGATAAAAAACACCCTAGCTCGTGCTGGGAGAAATGAACTAGATGGTATATTCAAAGCGAAGCATTCAGCACAGTGCTTGCCCAAGACATGCTGAGTGTGTGTGTGCTAACTGGAAACTGTTGTGTCTATGCTGCTCTGACTCAGCTTACGGTGGTGAATGATTGTCTCTAGGGCCGTGTTACCGGGCTCTGTCCTGACCAATACGGATAGAACTGAAGTTGCCAGGGGGACCTGGACCTGAATTTATAGTGGAAGAAAATTGTGGGCAACAGAGCCAGGATTCAAAACGATTTCTACAGGCTGAAATAAGCACGATGACATTATTCTGCTGAGAGCTTGACAGCATTACACAAAGTAGAGGATGGTAAAGAACCTTGACTTGACCCCAAGCTCTGGTACAGAGGATCTGAATGATTTGGTTAGCCACAACCTGATGGGAACTGATCACGGGAGAGAAAGTCTCTGAAGCCTAGCAGTCTTAGGCTGCATTAACAATGTGTCGTGTCCAGACTGGGGGAAATAATAGGCCTATTGTACTGGCTTGGTCAGGCCATATCTGGAATCTTGCATTGCTACACTGACAGACTGGAATCAGGCCAGGAGGGGACCAGCCCAGCCTCAGCTCCTGAGCTCTTGTGCTAAATGCTTCCTCTACAGTTTCTTGTCATATCCCCCAAACAACCCTGTTAGATAGGTTCCTACCTTGCACACAAGGAGGTTAACAGGATTGTCCAGGATCCACTGTCGAGCTGGTACACGGAGGTGCCTGCGGCTTTTCTGAATGGGCTCCTCTGGTGTTTGAACGTTCACTCACTGTAGTTTAGTGAGATGTGGAAGTAAAAGAGATAGAGTTTTTATTTTCAAGGAGAGCATGATCTGGCCTGGTGATTCAGATCATTTACGGGATGCTATGATTCAAGGGAGTGAAGAATTTAGGGCTGAAAGAGATCAGAGAGGACACCGTAGTCAAATCAAGACTAAAACAGGGAACAGAGACTGGGTAGGGTCATACGTCTCACAGTGGGGACATGGAGCCCCATCTGTGCCTTCTTATGGGACAGGGTAGTGTCACACGGCTCACATGGGGGACATGGAACCCCATCTGTGCCTTCTGATAGGACAGGGTCGTGTCACACGGCTCACATGCCTTCTGATGGTCTTCACCGTTTCACTGGCTTGTTTCTGTACAGCGGATGTGCCCAGATGGAATCTGCCAGGGCGCACCGGGGAGCGTGCTGTGATCATCGTGGGGGAGTTGGATCTCAATATCTCTTCCCTGCAATTTGAATTAAAAGAAAAAAAAAAAAGAGTCCGGCACAGGGAAACACAGGTCGTGTGTGTGAGCGGCCTCTGAGAATCTCAGCAGTAACTTCACTGATGAGGGAGAGCTGGACGTCACCCAGGCTGCTGGGGATCTTGGGAAGCCTGGGGTGACGTTAGCAGAGGTGGAAGAAAAGACTGTTCTTTGCTGGCAGTTACACCTGCTCTATTTAGATGAAGGTCCTCTCTTTCAAGGACCACATTCCTCTGTATTCTCTTTCTCAAAGCTTTCCTTTTTTTTTTTTCCTTTTTGACACAGAGGGCTTTTGGAGTCTTGTATCTCCCAGGGCTTCCTGTCTGGGAGTACATACACCCAGTTTAGCCTTCTGTAATTTATGCTGAGAGGCAGAACAGGAGAGTCATGAGCAAAGACTTAGGAACTGGACAAAACCTTCCTGGCCTGTACACTCTGTCATAACAGCTGCTCCTCTTCTCAGTGTCCCCCTTTCCTCAGCTATAAAATGGGGATAATAATAGTACCACCCTCGGATGGAGTTCGTGAGCACCCAATGAGATTGTGTTAAGCCTGTTAGGAGCTATCCATAAAAGGCTGCTGTGCCCATGACTCCTTCATATAACTTGAGAGCTTCCCTGCTGGAAAGGGCAGCCAATGGGCTGGCTGATTTTTTTCTCCCATTGAAAAAGGCTCCCTAGAGCTGGGCAATGGTGGTGCACTCCTTTAATCCCAGCACTTGGGGGGGAGGGGGCAGAGGCAGGTGGATCTCTGTGAGTTCGAGGCCAGCTTGGTCGACATACAGAG